GGGCCAGTGTAAAAATTCATTTTCCTTGAGCTCTAATGGTCCAACAAATGGAAGATCGGACAGGATACTTCAGAATGTCAGAATGCCATGATCCTGATATCCCTGTGTCGATTCTCAATTCTTTTTTTTTTTTTTCTGTTCTGTGTACACTTGCTGGAGGCAGAGGGGGGAAGTGTGAAATCACTCCTCCCAGAGAGGATGACCATGCCACAATCCTTTCTCCTGCATTCTCCTCTTGGTATTCTGGGCACACACACACTCCTGGCATGTTTTTCAAGTTGCTGGGTTAGGGACTCGATTGTTGGCCATGTAGGATCCAGCTGCCTTAACCCCTACACCATCTGGATGCCCCTTGATTCATTCTTAAATACTTCAGACATCTTCCAAGTGTCAGGCACTGAAAACGGTGGGAGCTAGAGCAAGGTCCCTGCCTTTGGGGACTCATACAAAATGGCCAGGTAACAATCACAATGTAATAACAAGTAAGAGCTATAAAAAGCAAGAATGTGGAGGCTGCCCAGAGGAAGACAGTGGAACTGGGATCTGAAGGACTCAATAGGAGTTCCTAAGTGAAGAAGGGAGGGCAGTTCTCAGGCAAAGGCATCTGCATGGGAGAGGTGGGGCAGATGAGTATGGCACCGCCCTAAGCATGGCTCTAGCGTAGACAGAGCAGGGCAGTGCTAGCTGGAGGTGAGAGTAAGGGAGGCAGGGGCTGATGGGCCATGGCATGGTGTCTGGTAATTTTTTTGTAATTGTTGTAGGTCTATGCTCTTGCCAGGAGCCAGCCAGACAGTACCTCTCAATGGGAAGTGGGCATGCCAAATCCCTTCTCCATTTCTCTATCCCATCAGGATTTGAGGCAAACATGCACACACACACCTGGTGTTTTTCAAGTTTCTGAGGCCAAGACCAAGACTCGAACTGCAGTCAGCCATGTGGGATCTGGCTCCCTAAACACTGTGCCAGGGGCACTCAGTTGTCTTTATGGGACAGAGGTGTTTATTGAAGAAACTGACATTCCAGTTTTCCTCTAACAATATGAATTGAAGGAAGATAAGAATTTTACATTTTTCCACCTCAAAATCAGATATGGTCATTTGGGAAGTTTCCTAGCTAGGAACTTCAGATGAATGAAGTCGGAAGGCAGCCTTTAGGATCCTGGGAGTGCTTTTCGGCTGTGCAGAGCTCTCCAGGGCCCTGACTGTCCACACCTATTCCCCTCGCACTGGAGATCTAGAACTTTTGCTGTGGCTGCTATAGGTGGGTTAAAATGATCAATTTCTATCCCAAACTGGGATTTAAAAAGCACAAGGCTGGCATGGTGGTTAAGGTGCTCGACTCCCACATGATTGACCACAGGTCCAGTCAGACCTGGTGGCTTGCTTTCTCACTTTCCCTGTCTCTGATGAGTGCATGTGCCTGTAGTAAATTATTCTTTTAAAAATAAAAAACACAAGGCATCTGTTCCCTTACCTTGCTGTCCCTTATTTACCCCTAGAGATAGGAACAACTTAAAACTTAATGTGGGGGCTGGCCGGAGGCGTGGTGGTTAAGGGCATTGGACTCCCACATAGCCAACCACAGTTTGAGCCCCAGACCTGGTGGCTTGCTTTCTCATTTTCCCTCTCTCTCTCTGGTCAAATTAAAATAAATAAAGAGAGTTAAATAAAAGGAAAAAAAAAAGTGTAAATGAACAGTGCAGTTAACATAACTTCACACTCTAACCAATTAGTTACAATACAAAAGGGACAGTTACGAAGACAAAAATATACAATATTGAAATAGCAGACGACTGGACTATTTAACTTGGGGTAACCATGACCTGAAGAAATAGTATTACAACAGATATCATCGATAAACTGAATTTACCAAGACAGTTCATACTCCATAGGGAAGTTTTATTGCATTTGAAATAAACATTTTTAAAAAAAGAATGTCTGGGCCAGCCCATAGTACAGATATTCATTGGGGACCAGATCCCACATGGCTGTGATTCGAGCCCCAACTCCAACAGCTTGAAAATCATGCCAGGTTCATGTGTGTGCCCCAAATCCTGATGGAATGGAGAAAGGACTGAAGAAATTGTGGCACGGCCGGATGACCAGGCCCGTCAGGAAGTGCTCTTTTTGGTGAGCACATGCATCTTCTGGGAGCTAAACAAATCAAAACCCAAAATGCCTTGCAGTTAAACTACCTAGAAAATTAACTTGTGCCGAATCCTTCTTGATCAAACAGGATAGATTCACGAAAAACTTTCACCAGCAAAGTTCCCCAAGCGTGGCTAAGTCAAGGCAGTGTGCTGTTTTCTCAGTAAAGGCTAATGGGCCAGCTGCAGAGCCAGGGCAGCGACTCAACACTCAGCGATGCTACCACAGGGGAAGCTTTACATCCTGGGATCTCGCAGCACATGCCTGGCAGGCAAGCATGTGCCCATGACCCGGCAGGCTGAGCCGGGCAAACCAGGATGGCACAAAGACCCTGTTGGGGATGCCTCACTCTCTCCCTCTCTCACAGAAGAAATAAAACTTAAGAAGAAAAAAAGGGCTAAGACTATCACAAAAACAGAGCTAGTAAGAAGACACTACCCAACCACGAGAGGGAACCAAAGAGGATTGATGGACTTAAACTTTATTTCAGTTACCAAAAGAAGTATGTTAACTCTGAGACATTTGATAGATTTCATTTAAACTTAAGTCACAAAACTCAAAATAGCAAACAAATAACTTTGTGTGCTTAATCATTTTAATCATGAAACACTGAGAGAGGAAATATGTAGAGACCCCCCCCCAAACAATTTGGGAGCCATTTAGGCAAGCAAGTATTTAAGCAAAAAGCATTAAAAATTCAAAATCCTCCAATGTAGAAAATGCCTGCTCAAGTCTTTGATTTGCATATGAAAAAAAATATTAAAAAAAAGAAAAGCCAAGCCTGAGTGCTTACCCATTCTTCAAGTCATCTCCTGCCCAGCCTTCACTTTATGACTGCACATCTCTCACACCACAGTACTTCGTCTGCACTGACCCAGTGTTAGTTCAACATGCTGGGCTTAACTTCAAGATCCCATTTCATGTATCCTGTCGACCACCCACTTATCCCTTACCTACTTGCAGTCTGATACTGAATATTATTGTAATTGTAGCTCGGAATTTCAGGTATCTGAAGATAACTACACACACACAATCCTGTTTTATTGCACAGTTCACAATATAGAGCAGGTGATTAATAGCCAACCATAAAATATGACTATCGACTATTTAGACAAAAACATCACCTTTGTCCCCACAAATGAAGCAATTAAGACACACAAACCTGCCACTCTATTAAGGTTGTGTTTATCTGTGGTGCAGTCCTGAGGGCCCATACCACTTTAAGTGTGTTAAACACAGAATGAGTAATTTTGGTGACGTCAGACATGAAATATAGGACACAAGACTGAAAGTGTCCAGTGCTCACAAGCTGTCTGTAATGGAAAGGCCACTTTTAAAGCTTTTCAGAGTTATTCAATCATGTTTGCTTTTTCAAAATTATCATCACATTCGTTCATGCTGAAGGTAAAAAATAGAATCTTATAAGTAACACATTTTTGGGGACCAGCAGATGGTGTAATGGTTACGTCACTGGACACACACATGGCTGACTACGGTTTGAGTCCCGGACCGAGCAGCTTGAAACTCACACCGGGAGCATGTGTGTTCATGCCCAAAATCCTGAGAAGAGATGGAGAACAGATTGTGCTGTGGCCATCCCTCTGAGGGGTGACTTTTCATTTTCTCTCTGGCAAGCACATGTGCCCTACAGCAAAAATCTCTCAAAAAAAAAAACGAACCACACGTTATGACAAAAAGTTGAGACAAAGCTGCTGGCTATAAGTTCTGGTCAATTTTTTGTCAAATTTAAGAAGTCTATAGGACAACACAAAACCATCCCTGGTAGATGTATTTATTTTGGTCTTCAAAAGCTATAAAAAGTGACAAATTTAAAAATTGTACGAGTTAAACCATGAAAAATATTTATTAGTAATTGTTTTTAAACGCCACATATTGAGACAGCAGAAACCAAAGCATTTTCTCACTTCACTTGTATTTCACAAAAGTGCTTTAGAACTTGGGTTTCTATCACCTGCATGGAGTGTAGACAAAAGCAAGCCCCGCAGAAGACTGGAAGGCCCAGTGGAGTGCAATCCCAGGGCCGGGTGGC